TTTTCTGTACTTCCTCGTGAATTCCTCTGTGGCAGGAGGGGGGGGGGTGTCGATTAATACAAAGAGTAGGTGCGCTTCTCTTAAGGTAGCTCCACACATGCGGCATTCGGCGAATACCGAGCAACCGCTCCCCGAATACCGAGGAGTGTGGACGGGTTGCTTGCGATTCGCCAAGTGCTGAACTTTTAGGTATTCGCCCTACCCACCACGTGTCTGTCTTAACGACGCGTCGAAGGGAGCGAAGATTTGCCAAACACACAGCTGTTTGGGATTGGATGAGCAGAATCTCGTTGCTCGGCGAATGCCGAATGTGTGGAGTCGCCCTTAAGCTAGAAGCTTTTACTCATCTCGGAATTCCGGTTTGGCGGCAATAAAAGTTTATCTCGATTCCAAAAGTGAGATTTTGATGTTAATTATTTTATTTCAGCACAATTAAAGGGGGCAATATTCTATTAGAAAGTGATAAGTTGAGGAAAATTATGACTGTCTTGTATACCACATATTCTTAACATAGTAACGGTCAGTCTAGTTTAGTTGATATTTTTGATGTTCTTCTGTGCCCCTCAAATGTGTTTCATAATGAATGAGACTCTTAGTAGTTGTTTTTTCCTGTTTTTCCCCTTTCTTTCTAAATCAATTTTTCACGCTATATTTTTAAATTTTGAGCCAAGAGATCATAAATTAACGTTTTAAAAAGAAAATGTAGTAGAAAATACTTAAAATGCCTTAACGGCTCTGAAATATTTTAATTTATTTAGTTTAACAAGAACTGTTTAATTCAGTGATGAAATTCACGAAAAAGTAAATTTTGCAATTCTACGTTTCTGACATTTACATTAAATAATAATAATAATAATAATAATAATAATAATAATAATAATAATAATAATAATAATGATAATAATCGTTTACACGCACAATGTGCAGTGTTACATTTACATTAATGAAACCTAGATTATAGAAGCGTGTCAATTAATGATTTGTCATTAATTTATACAGTGTAATTAGAATACTTCTCCGCGAGAGTTCCAAGACAACAATTTGCGAATCAATATCGCTAATGAATGTTAATGAAAGGAAAACAAAAATAATACCTCGGAGAATAGAAATAATAATCTCGGGATACGAGATTATCGACATCGTAGTTTTTGATTTCTTTGTAGCTTTTTCGCGAAAAGTATTAATCGTATATTATTACTTGGTTTTATATACCTAAATGTTTTCTTCGTGAGCGCACGGCAGGTGCTAAGAAAATATTGTAAATTTATATTAAATGTATAAAAGAACTAAATATGAATACATTTATTTGCATATCGAGCTCTTCAAATTCATTTTAAAAATATTTCCGACTTTTAAACACCTAAAATTCAGTTATCCAAATCATAAAAAATAGTTATTATAAAAGTTATTTCTCACATAATAGACAGAGAGTTGTGGTTCATAAAAATGTTTTCAAACCTGACAGCAAAGTTCCAAAATTTTATCGTATAATTACAAAAAACTTAAATGGATATAATTAACTTTTTTAACAATTTAGTTTAATTTTTTGGAAACTAAATTATGTGTGTGGGATTATTAGAATTGGCAGATGCCATGAGCATATAAAATTGTTACATTCTACGTTTTGAGCGAATTTCTTTCTTTAATTATTTTAACTCAAAAATGCTTACGGGTCGCAAGGACCCACGTGCGAAGTGCACAGTAATTATTAGTCTAGTTTTAGCGGGTCATTCCTAAGAATACACGAAACATTTTACATTCACATTGTCAGCACTTGCAAGACATTAATGAAGTTAATAGCTATATTTGACTATGTACGATATCTTCTACGTGCTATAGTGAAAAAGAAGGAAGAAATTTAGAAAACGAGCGGGGATTATACATCTCTGCCCCAAACGTCATACACAATTTTGACTATTTTTGACGATGTACAAATAAATATCAAAATAGTTTCCTGTAAATGAAATACCAGCACAACAGAAACATTAGAAATGCAAGGGCATGAAAATGGACCAGATAGAAGAAAGTTTTCACGGCGACCACGTAATATAAGCACTTTCTTTGGGAACTAACGAGTAGGCCTACACCACGAAAATTGAGCATTACGTGCACGAGGCAGTTAAATATCGGAATTAATTTGAATTGGTGTTAGTATAATCTCTTTTAAAAGTTTTATCCCAGGGATTATGAATATATGCAAGAATTAAAAACAGTTTCTTCTATTTTCTAGAAATATTTAAAACAAAACATTTATTTCAAGCTCCTTCTTTTGACATTTAATTTTTTTGTATTTAATAAAATTATTTTAGTTATTAATTTCACGTGCGCAAAAATTGAAAGAAAACCACGCAGTTGGCTCATGTCAGAGGAATCTATGGTTTCGTTAGATACCCAGGATCTAGGGGAAAATCCAAATATAATGAAAGAGTTTCTATTTAGACAAAAAATGAAAACATTTTATTGTGGTTCTTCTACCTACAGCCATATTGCGCGTACCGACTGAATTCTCATAATCAGTGCCTCACTCCCTACAACAGACATTAAAAACTTCTAATTGCACAGTAACCTATATACATTTAAGAGGTTTTAACAATTTTATAATCTTTAAATATTTTAATTATTTCCCAGGTGAGTCAGTTTTCATTCTTTCATTCATTTACTTAATTATTTATTTAATTTTCTTCTGATCTTGTACATCGATACTGGACCAGAAATTGTATCAAAGAAATAAAATCTTAATAGTATACAAACATTAAATATACATGTGTGTTTTTTAGTGTTTTACCTAAATATGAAAATTAAAAGATTTACGAAACGTAGCTGAAGGAACGGATGATTTAACTAGAAAAATAATTTTAAAAGTGATTGTAACTCCTAGTGGAAGATTGAACCAATTAAAATAGTACCTTTTACTTCCTTGTCTACGTACGTAAACACAGAGTTAATATGCGTATTATTATATAATAAGCAACATTTCCTTTTCGAAACGTTAGTACGTCCGAATGTGGACAACACTCGCGCCTAAACTATTAGAAGTTTTGCCAAAATTAATATTCCCCAATTGACCTGGCCTGACTTAAAGCATTCGGATTTCAAAATATTTCTTGCATCTTGGAGGGGGGTACAGAAAGTTCATTGGACATTTTCGAAATTTTCTCAAAAATTGATCCAAATAAATCTCTAGACGCTTGCCCAAAATCAAAAATTTACTGTCCAAATTACGTATTTTTAGAAAAGCTCAAACAAAACTTTCTCAAAAACCGTTATATTTCTTATTAAAACTAAGCAAACACGACCAGGTTTTACTCTCTCATATTATTAAAGACATAATTAAATTCTGTCTTCAAAAAATGTGAAAACATTTATTTTAGGTGCTGATGGGTGGCAGCTGGGAAGATTGGAAAATTCCCTAATACGAGAAAGTCTGAGCCTTTGAGCGATACCACTAATTTTGATATTCTTGGAATGCAAAGAACTTATAGGTATTATATTTACTATACTAAATTATTGCAGATAACTCTTGAGGAATGTTTTTGTTAAAATAATAAATGTATTAGTGTTATACGAGCGCCTTTTATTTGTTTTTATTGAGCAGTGTGCGTGCTAAGTTTTGGAAAACCATTTTGTTTTTGTTCATCAGCAGTTTTTCTTCTGTACGCCACTACTTTGAGTTATATTCTAAAAATATACATTCGGGTTATAGAATACAATACGAGATGTGTTGTTATTCAATTAACATATTATTTCGTGTGAAAATTCTTTTTATGATGCCAATTAGTTTATATTCCGTTTAAAGGACTTAAATGAACCAGCAAGATATGCATGCAATGTTTCATAAAATTCGACACCAAAACCATGCCTTCACACAGTTTATTGTAGATTTTCAAAATATCGTCGCCTATGAACCTGAAGTGATATTTTTTAAAATTATTCTGAATAGATCGCGACTGGGGCCCTTCTCAATAATAGGTCACGAGAAAGGAAAATGGGTAGACCGGCACCTCTTTTGATGCCGCTTCGAGGGAAATTCCAGCACTGCGTTGGTTGTCTAAATATACTACACTGCGTTCCGAGGTCACCACGGTTTGAAAAGTTCGTGCGTGGACGAGCAGTCAAATATAGGCCACTAAAATGATGAGCATTAATTTAATGCGAAGTACAAATAATTACGAGAGAAAAACTCAATTCTTTTATCTGCAAAACCAGAAGTAAAAGTAACATATCTGAATACTCAGAATGAATAATTAAAGAAATATTTGTACAGACTGTCGCATTGTCTTAGTTGATGTAATACACTCATCCAAGTTCAGTGACCTCCCAGACAAACCTACACTTGTCGTAAGTGCCTACAACAAACAACTTTCAAAAAATAGAAGTCGTGTGTCCCGAAAAGACGACTATTCCACGCAGGTTCTAAATATAAGTCAAAGACAGCCATTTCGAATATATTTCGCGTTCAAACAAACTATTTTCTTCCTAAAATTAGCACGAAAAGATGTTATAATTACTATTATAAAAAAATTATAATTATAACAATACAATATTCGTCAAAAGTTATCCAAGCATAAAACCTCCAAGCACAAATTATTATGTAAACTAAATCTCAAAATTTAACACTTTTGAGACGAAGAAGCTTTTTTCGATTTTTTCATTACTTCCCGACAACAACAAATGCACGGAGATTAAATAAATAAGATTAACACATTATTTCCTGCAGGTCATCACATAATTGTACAAAAATATAAACATTTACACTTTTATCTGAAATTAAACGTAGCGAAACTGAAGGTTTGTCAAAAAAATGTTTGAAATATTGTGAGATACTTTATTACTGACAAGAATAATATAGGGTAGCAGCGTCCTGACATACTTATGTATAAACAGCTACACGAAACGTTTGACGCGTCGAAAACAATTAAAATTTATGAAACATATTCTCTGGAAGAAATGTAAATCTACATCACACGTAAACTTTTAAATGCCAAGTGATAAACTTGTACCTGAAGATCAGGATGCGTGTTGTCCTTGTGACTAGAAGCACGTATTACTCCCGCCCTCCAGCCCCACTCGCTGATTTTACCCAATTTCAGCTTCGTAAAACCACTCACTGACAGAAAACGTTTTCCAACTATCTCCTCTCGATACTTGTAAGCCATTATATTCACTTTTCACACATTTTCAATTCAAAAACTTCACAAATGTCAAACTTTTCTCCAGAACGACTTAAACACCACAACACTGTTCCATATCCGCGCAATGATACTTGCGGCAACACTTCAAATTTCTCCGCTAGAGTCCACTGCTGTACATTCTGAACACGGTATCCTTGCGCGGTTCGCGCAGAAAGTAGATCTAAGTCACGTGACAAAAACAATCAGCAGTCTGTTCAATATGGCTGCTTCAAGAGCGTAGTGTGAGTTTGGATGCCAGTTGAAATGTAATCGCCTGGTGGAGTGGTCAAATTTTCGAGAATGATATCATCAATAGTGTCTCGTTTAGTTATGTGAGTATTGTTATACTTTTTTATATGCTCGTTCTACAGATCATGCTTTTATTGTCGACTTTGTTTACGAATATAGTTGACAAAGGCACAAGTGAAGGACTGTTGAGGATCTTTAGATGCCGCTAAACTCACAACCGTTATTGAGTCATAAATCGCCACTTATAGAAGTATAAGAATTATCACTAATAGTCTAGATAGGGACTGGCGTCGTTATTCGCTTATCTCACTGACAGCTGATTCCATATTGATTTTCAAATATAATCCTTTGTTCTGTAACTTCACATACTATCGAAATGTTTTGGTAGCACTATGCTTACTATACCATTTTATTTTTTGCCCGTATTTGTCTCGGTAAAACGCACGTTAAGTGATGTGTGTATTCTGGGGGTTTGAATACGGTAATATTTATGGCAGCATTGTAATATCCATAACATGTTTTGGAAATTATTAACTTTAGAACTTCGGATGGTAAATCTTAATTATTTAGATTATATAAGCAGATATATTTCTCCCGTGGTATCATTGTAGTTCATTTATTTAATTCGGAGCATTATGAACACTTATCAAGAATAGGTTTGTGTGGAAGCAGAAGTTGATGGTTAAGGTGCTTTTGATGGACATTTCAAAATCTTGTGAATAAATTTGAGTATAACTATTTGCTGACAATTAATGGACATAGACAAACTAATAGTGTAGCATTTCGACCTTTCATGCTTTATAATATTTTGACAAGTATGAACCATATGAATTACGGAGTCAGATTACAGTCTTTTAAACATTTTGTGTGATTAAATTGTTCTTCAGCTTATTGTGAGGTTAGGTGAAGATTTACTTACCACAATTAGCGTTTGTTAAAAATTAGGTGAAGTTAATACTGGTGTGTTGCCCATCTACCTGTACTTCGGTATTTATTGACAAACAGATTATGCACTTCCAATGTATATGTTGCATATTGTTTTATAGTGCTGAAATCTACAACCATTTTGTTTTGACTGAGAGCTGTACCACACATTTGTTATCTATGTGCTTTACCATCTTTCACTCAATGCCTTCAGGTTATGGGGGAAATATTTTTCAGAAATCCTGAGAATATTTTTGAAACTAAGAGTTGGAGTATTGCTAACGTATGATGTTGATGCTGTGATACTATATTACCATGTTCTTAATATTGGGATTTATACACATTGTCACTTAAGATTAAAACCATTTAATATTGCCATTTCTTTTCATTACTTCAAGTAATTGTTATTCATGGTAAAAGTAAACGTAACTACTTGTAGCAAAGACACGAGTACTAAATATTAGTGTGAAATTTGGAATCTTATTCCCTGAAAGGAATTTGTAGGACTATTCTATTTGTATTATTAGTTTAAACATTATTATATTTGAGAATTTTGCTACTTTGGCATTAGAGAGATTTTAATTTACTGTTGATGATTGTAGTTGGTATGCATTGTTCGATATTCAAATAATATACCCAGTGTTGTTAAGTTTTGTGAATCATTTAATGTAAATTAAGTTCTTGCTGTGTATTCCGCAGGAAATTCTGTTATTTTCATATTTTTATATTCAGTATTTTACAGAATTATGTGAAGTATTATGATATGTATAGAAAGAAGTGTGGTTCTCACCATCTGTTTTAAAATTGTAGAGGAAACTTTCTTTGAAGTGTTCACCTACTTGTGATTGCCAATTTCTTCTATTATTATAGAATATATAGATTTTCGTGTTTTCACTTCATTTTCATTTCTATTGTACAGTTGTTTGAAATGTTTTAATATTATTCTATTCACAATATTTCATTTTCTTTCGAGATGAAGTAATGTGTTGTATTCAATACAATAGATGTATCTTATTTAAAAAATTGCATTCAGATAATTCTGCTTCTATTATCATGTACATATAGAAAGAGTAACACAGTTGGAAACTATTGTCTGAATTTACCACAAGATACTTTTGTTGTTTTGTGAGGCATAATACATACGCCTTTAACAATACACCGTACTGTTTCCACAAATATTTTTCATTTGTTTTCGCCATTCTTGTACATTGAATGCTCAGGTAGTGTGGTCATTCTATTGTGTGTGTGTGTGTTTTGTTTTCAAGTTAGGCTGTTGTTTACTAGCTTTTTCTTGAAATTTGGAAGGTTTGCATGAAAAAATATATAATTAATTCACTAAGTGCTTAGTATATTTCGAATTGTTCCCACGACTTTAATTTACAGACGGCATTAACAATTAATGTTCATTTTTAAAATAAGTTTTGAAGGTATACTGTTTTCTGGCCTTTGCAAAAATTATATTACTTATATTCATGCTTCACTATATTTTCTGTTGGATTCTGTTCTAGTAGGCTTCCCTATATTATAGAAATTAAGAGTTCTTTCCACAAAAGGGGTTTGATTCAGTACTACGAAGTATTTAAAATGTACATCCAACGTAAAGAAGGGTGGGTGGATGTAAAGTTGATCTTATCTTTTTCTTAACAGAAAATTTTTCGGTTAAAGTAGAGAACACGGTACACCCTAGTGAAGCAAGCGTTGAAGGGGGGTGTGGCAAGGAACGGGGAATGAGAGGAAGTAGAAAGTTCAATGCGAAAAGCGCTGTGAAACAAATAAATAAAACTTACCACCTTGGTTTTGAATCCACTTAATCGCGGCCAAACAAACCTTTCGCCCCCACACAAAGAACCACATTTTTTCTCACCATCGTAACTATCACTCGACGATCACAAATCACAAATAATCAGAAGAGCACAGAAACGTAACTGTTGGACACAATCGTACGTAATCACTTTGATGGCTACCCCGACCTACACAAAAATCTAAAATTATCGCTACGTAACTTTGGCTTCAACTGAATAGTTGTGGCGCTCCGACAAGGTACCAAGGCGTGAAATGACGTAACGAAGAAAGTAACCAATCACGAAGCATGCAATTAATTTAAGAGATATTTTTTTAAAATTTATATAGATCGCCCTCGCCGAAGTATTGGCGGTTTCGCCAGTGATATCTCCCCTGCCCTGCTTAATATAATTATGTATCATGTTATGCAAATTTGTTCACTATCCTGTTCTGCAAAAGAATCCCCTATAAACCAACTACCCCTCGCCCCCTCCACCTTTCATTTCCCCCTCGCGAGCAGCTTGAAGTGTCAGCGGTTTTAAACGACTTCCTTCCGTGTACTCCATTTCAGGCGACTTACATTCGAACGTTTCGTGATCTTCGAATGAAGACATTATTGTTCATCGATATCTCGTATATTGCATCTTTAATTTTACAATAAATGTATGACAAAAGACCCCTTTTCGCATTTAAATCCTGAACATTTAACTTAGGTATTCGACGCAAGTCGTGCAAGATTCGCCCGAAAGGTCTCTCAGTCGGTGATATAGCCAGTGACAGAAAAAGAATGAATTCTGTCTCGGGGATGGGGAAACCGAAATTTAATAAAAGTTACCTAGCTGGTTTGAGTTTATGGAGGAATATTATTTTTTAAATCTTTAATTCTTATAAAATCCTGATTATCGTTCGTACAGTCAAATTGAAAAATCTCGTATATTTTATATGGCGCGTTCAGTGTTTAACCCCTCCGTTTTAAGATTTAAAACTCGCGTAAACATTACTGGTAACATCAATTTTTGTTAATATTATTATGTGGTGGGAATAAAGTAATAAATACAGAACATGCGGCCAGATTGAATTTTACCTTAAGTTGATTTGGTTCTTATATTCTCTTTGTATTTTTGTGTGGTGATGAAATTGGATTCGTCAATGCCAGAACATGGAGTTTGTATATTGTTGTCAGCTCGCTTTATTTTGTACATGTGTTGTATGCGTTTGTTGTGATTATATTTTAGTTTTAATGAATATTTCGATTTATAAAATATTTGTTATTTTGTTCGAAATAATTATTTAAATATTAAAATATTTAAATGAGTTTTTCAAGATTTGTTTTAAAAGCCCGGGTTGGGTTTTTGCAGTGGGGAAAACTTCGCCGCGCAACATTTCTCCCTTGCCAGCCACTTCATTCTGCTCCGTGCGCCTTAGCCCAGTTCGATGTGGTGTCTCCCGCTGGGCCAGATGCGAGAGGGAGGACGGGTACCTACGTTGCGTCCGTTGGAACTAGGTTTCGGTTTCGACCATCAAATACTGGGTGCCAGATAGCATAATTGGAGTGAATCATTTTGAAGTTATCTTACTGGGCTTTGAGAAAATTCTTAATTTCCTCGCCGTTTTCAATATATGCACGAAAAAATTAAAGATGTAAGAAGAAGGAGGTAATTTCGAAATCTCGTCTATTGAGAGGGAGAACCTTTTGTAGATGTAGAAGATAAAGGTTTCGAAATATAGTTTTCAGTAATCTCCACAAATGAAATTCAATCGAAATAGTGTTAACAGTTTCTGGAATTAGACAAGTCATAGGCGACACTTGTGTAAAGACTTTTCAGGGATTTCCCTTTCGTGAAAATAAACATATGAATGTTAAGACTTTATTTGAAATGTGAGACTGGCTCTTATATTTTATTAATGTAGATGTATATGTTGTCTTCTAATTGTGAAAACAATTTTATCTCTTTTGTTCTTTGAAGAAGTACATATATTTTATAATGGCAAAGAACGACAGTGCTCGTTAAGTGCGGTTACGCAAGTAAATAGACCGCTACACTCTGACGATTGGCAACGTTCCTTCACGCAAGGATGCGATGATTGTCTATAATCCTCGATTTCATATTTTCTCCCCGCTACAATCCTCTGAGGCGTCATGAAGCCGCGGGTCGGGAGGGCGGAGTTGGGCTAGCCCCTCGTCTAGTCGCCGCCGCCGCCACCTGCTCTTGAACTCGCGCACGAAAATAGCGCCGTGGCCCAGCTCGGCAGGGGGCTCCTCCAGATCCTGAAAAACGCGCGCCAGGGCCAAGGCGTGCGCGCCGCCGCCGCTGTATGCTTTGCAAATAAACTTGGCTCGCGCGCACGGACGGCTCAGCTCAGCTCAGCTCGGCTCCGCTTCGCTGTCGAAATCTGGCTTATTGTCGCTTCGCACCTGTGGCAAGGGCGCCGAATGCAATATTTCTTTGTTTTTCCTCTCCCTTGTCGTATTGTTTTGCCAGAATATGAAAGGAATGTTTTGTAGCTTAATGGTTGAAGTTAAATAATATTAAATTTTCGTTACTTTATCTTCGCTCTAAAACGTTGGTGCAGATGATTTTGTTGTATTTGAACATATCTTTACCTGTGAATCGTTGATTTAATTACTCCGAATCGAAGCCACGTCCTTAAACAGTAGATATGTCTGAATGCGATCGGGAAAAGACTCAAACAATCCCGTTAGTTCTTCTACATGCATTTTGATGTAATTTATATTTTATCATTTACGTCCTGGGGAGTTGTAGTTTAAAGAATCCTTTAATGTTAAGAAAATGAAGGCGTACATTTTGTAAATAGTTTTTCAACTGGATGTTCTTTCCAGAAACCTCGTAGAGTTCTAACATGAAACTTTATTCTTTATTTATCTTGTATTGACCCTGACGAGTGCTGTTTGAGAACCGACACTGTCGAACATTGACTGGTGGTCACAGGGGCATCGATTGTGTGTTTGATGTGCGGTATCTGCTTATATGGCTGGAATGCGTCCAAAGTAAACAGGAAGAGCGCGTGCGCACTGCAGCAGTTCGACTGCTCCCGAGTCGGTGCGGCGCCGATTTTTTTAAAATCAGGCAGCCGTTGGTTGCGTAATGCAGCTAACCGGGATTTCGCACGTGGCATTAAGAATTCACTACGTTTCCCGTAGTGCGCGACCGGTATGCGATGCCAGTCGGATACGGGAGCGCCGTGGAGCGTCCCAACGGTTTCCCTGGCGAGCGGGCACGCACCCTCTTGCGTTCCGTTTCCGCCGCCGTTTCTGCCCTGCCCCCGCCCCCCTCCGGGATGTGTTGTTCGCGCCTGAAGGGGCCAGATGCGAGAGGGTGGACGGGTACCTGCGTTGCGTCCGTTGGTGGGCGCCGAAGCAACAGCTGTGGAAGGCCTCTTCGCGGGAGCTGGGACGACCCGGCGTTGCAGGGTCCTTTACACGGGGGAGGGGGGGGGGCATTTGCATACCATATGGGATGCTGTTTACGTCCTTGCGTGGTCCGGATTTGGGCACGATTGCCCGTAACTGGTGCGACTGAAACGCAAGGCCGTCGAACAGAGTTATTGCCAATGTTCTTCATTGCCGTTGGTCTAGTGAAGTGACAAGCAGGCCAAGAAAGCGTAGATATTTTTTGCAGTTGCCTTGAGTTCATTCGCGATGTGAGTTCTCGGTGAGTGGTTGAAATACAAGCTTCATGAGAATGATCGATGCCCTACTGTGAATCAAACGTCAAAATGCTTAGTTCAATTCGTGAAGAAGAAATAATAGGTTTATATTTGCGCAATGAATAGTATTGTTAGCCTGACGCAGTATAAAAGAAACTAGTCGTTAGCTTATGACTGTAGTAAAACCGGTCGGTTAGGACACTATTCTACATCGAACTGGGTTTCCTGAACGAAAGAATAACGTTCTAAAGTAACAAAAAGTCCTGTGCAGTAAGATACCTTTTGATTGGACGCTTCCTGCGGAGAATATTTCATGAATTTTTTTTGAGTGGAAATGAAATGGAAAAGTTTAAGAACCAGAATGGACAACTTTTGCACTCTTAATCAAAATTTGGGATTACAGTATGTAAATTTTGGTTTCTAGAAAGGGTTGGGAGGAAATATGAAACTGGCCAAGAAAAGGTTTCATTTTTCAAGAAAAAGAACATTTCTCTTTATTGGTCGTGGAGAGCTGGTGTAAATACCGTTACTGAGAAGTGTGCTCAATTCTCCCCCCAAAAAGATAATGTTTTAAAAAATATTAATGTTTAAATAGTTTATTCAAATATTAATTTTTAAAACGATTGAGTAGAATAATCATTAAAAAATAAATGGTGGTTATCGATCAATATGATTTTATTTATAAGATTATTTTTTTCAAATGAAAATAGTTGGAAAATGTTGAGTTTTTCATTTGAAAAAGTACATCATTGTTAAATGAGTGGTCATGAAACTAGAACACGTTATTGAATTGAAGCGAACATCGGTGCTTTAACATACAATATTAATGATAGTTCGGGTGCTTGTTTACAAAAAGACTGATTTTTGTTTCCTTGAAATATATTAGTTACATCGAGTCAGGATTGGTCCGCGAGGAACAGGTTGTTTTTGGTCCAATTATAATCTAGTGCATTTCGCCCGCCCTCTCGGGCTGGAGCCTTGGTCGCGCCGGGGCCGGAGACTGCGCCCGCCTAATGCCGCCGGCGCGGCGGCGACCTGGAGAGGAAGCGAACTTCTATTGACTCGCCGCCTCGCTTCGTCTCAGGCACGCGCCTTGCCCTACCGCCCCGCCCCGCCCCAAGCCCGCTGGCCAAGGAACTGCGAGGCGCCCAAACGGGCGCTGCTTGAAGTTCCCTTGGCGATTAGATTCTGGAGGGGTTTTTTTTTTGTTGGATCGCTGTTCCAATGAGATGTTCGAATACAGGAGATTTATCCCTTTCATTTGTAAGGTTAATATTGAAGAATTTCTTGACAGTATTTGTGTACAGTATATGTATTACAGGGGTTTTTCTTTGATGTGTCTTACGAATTGAAAGTGCTCGGGTTTGAGATTGTTTCAGAGAGAGGGTTTTAACTGTTAGTATTGGTGGCTGTTTACTTAAGGGGAATCTATGCCTCATGCGTACTTCACTTTTTGAAATCTGTTCCCAACGTACCAATTGCAAGCTTTCATCAGTTTTTTTAGCCGTACGATAAATTGGATGTGGTATAAATGGTCAAAATTCAGTAACACATGTTCAG